CAAAAGTAATCCCTCCTTTTATTTTTATTTTTATATTTTATTTTTTTTTTTTAGCTGGGCGAAATACAGTGACTCCGAAAGTAATGTCTCTTATGTTTGTTTGTTTGTTTTTAATCTCCCCACATTGTTTGAGTGACAGTTAAATTTTATCTAAAGAACGATATAATCCATTTAATCTAATATATATATATATATATATATATATATATATATATATATATATATATATATATATTTGGAAAGGGATTGAAAAATCTTTAGAGAACGCTCATCGATTCTAGTTGCTTTTTCGTCAGAGTGGAGCCCGAGGAAAAATTAAAAAAGGTTTGTACTGCAACTAACAAAAAAAAAAAAAAGAAAAAAAAAAGAGAAATCGAGTTTATGAAATGCATATGTATTTATAATAAAGCGCGCACACAGAAGCACGCGCAAACATACACACACACACACACACACACACACACACACACATATATATATATATATATATATAAATATAAACAGTGAGGTCAAGACTGAGTGACGACAGTCTGTTTCAGTCTTCATCGCGATCTTCAAGAGATGAATATTGTGTTCAAACATGAAACAGGCAATCGCCACTCGGTATTGACCTCAGTGTCCACGTTTGTATTTACATACGCTCTATCTCTGATATTGAGCACTTTTACCCATAATTAAATCATACCGTAAAATTATATTTTATCATTATATATATATATATATATATATATATATATTAAATTAATTGATTTAAAATATGGTTATTTTCGCTACACTGTGTACCCAAAATCAATTAAATCATTTACATTGACACTATTTTGTAAAATTATATTTTATCTTATTATTTCTTTTTTTATATATATATATATATATATATAAAGAAATGGACAAAGTCCGACAATTTATTTATTAAAGACATTTTTATGTTTAACGTTCTTTTTTTATAGATACAAGTATTTAAGTATTTTCTATGAAAATTTCTCGGACATTCAGGCCGGTAAATGTTATTTAATACTATTTATTATAAACAGAGCATTTACTTAAATACTTGTATCTATAAAAAAGAACGTTAAACGTAAAAATGCCTTTAATATATATATATATATATATATAGGTTGTGTGAAAAATACTTTTACAAATTTAGGGGGCGGGTGCCTCACACCAAACACAAGGTAAAATATCTATATAAACAAATGTCCAGGCGGTCATCGTTGTACCTCAACACTCATAACACATGTTCAAATTGTCCTACGCTTGCTTCTACACACGCACGCACCCGTCGGATCATTCACTGGTGGACCCTTTCAGATACTCCCACACGGTGTCGAATGATTTTGCAGGCCACCATGAAACTTTGATGAAGCGTCTTTGCATTATTAATGTTTGCTGCATAAACCAATTGAGGTTGCCCCACAGATAAATAGAAGGGTTGAATTCGGGGGAACGTACAGGCTATGAGACAGGTCCCTTCCCTGCCTAGCCATCTTTCATGGTAGATGTCAACCAGTGCATCGCGAACAATATGAATACAATGTCCTGGAACCCATCATGCATGAACCATACACGCCTTCGCATTAGCAAGGGTACATCCTCTAGCAGGTCTGGAAGTGTGTTCTAAATAAAGTCCCTGTAAGAATATGACACGAGTTTTCAGGTTGCTGTTGTTTTAGTTTTGTAGAAATTTGCGGTGTTGTGGAAAACTACTTCTTAGACCATGCGAGAATAGGCTTTGCATTCAGTCTCCTTCCGAGCAGTCAGGTAGAGACTTAACATGCGAGGTGATCTCCAAGCCTGGAGTGGATATCCGTGATTCACACGATGTCAGGTGGACTAGTGATCGAGCCAGCTACGCGTAAAATAGGCACGAGATATGCATGTGTCGAAAAGTATCGCATAACAGATAAATATATAGACGCTCACCCAGATAGGTATTCTCAGAGATCTAGATAGCGATGCCTAGTTCATTTAGCGAAGAGATTTCGGGACCACGGACACACCCGCTGACCCACAGACATGCGCACTGACCACCGGTAATTTATGAAGTCTGGATTGAAAAAAATAAAACGTAATCTTACGTGTAAGAAAGTAAGTCTTGGGCTTTCATTCGTGATTTTACAAAAATAATTTCACCCAGGTAAGGCGATAAAGCCACTAAGACACTTACTGTGAGTGAAAGAGAATGAGAAAAGAGGAGAAAGGACAATAAGATGTTTCAGGAAGATAGAAGATGGCGATTGATGTTGCAGTTAAATTTTTAAAGGTGATCTGTGGCAAGGAAGCGAGAATTTATCAGGCGAGAAAAGAAACTATCTGAATTGAACTTACGGTTCTATCTAGTAATTTCAACAGTAAAATGATAAGATGAAGTTGCCAGACTATTCTTAAATTCATGCGGTCGGGATAACAAGAAGGGAATCTGATTAGATCAATTGCAATGGACATATAAAAAGGACAGAGAGAAGCCACGTGACTGTGGTGGAAACTGATTGAAGTTGAGATGTCTGGTCACAATCGATAACATTAGACGCCATTCTTTGGATTTTGTCGATAATCTCAAGAGATATAGCCAGTAGACCAAGCCATATATGGCAATAGTATTCAATATACGGATGAATGACAGAATTATAAATGTGCATGAATTTTCTGGCACAACACAGGGAACAAAAATCTGTAATAGAACAAATAAAAAACAATGATGAGACTTTAAATCCTTTACATTTTAATATACTGACCCTTCTTCTCAATAACAGCCACATCATCCATTGATTTTGTTAATATTTTACTTCAGCAAAATCAATTTCCGACATAGTTTTAATTGCTTCCAATAGGCCTGCTTTGTTGCTAGATTGTTTGCCACCTTCATATAATTTCATCTTCAAAACTGACCATAGATTTTCGATCGGATTCAGATCAGGACTTGATGGTGGCCATTACATTAGGTTCTCTCCTGCATCTTCATAATTTCATCTTCAAAACTGACCATAGATTTTCGATCGGATTCAGATCAGGACTTCTCAAGAAATGTAGCCGGGAGACCAGGCCAGATATGGCAAGAGTATTCAATATACAGATGAATGACAGAATTATAAATGTGCAAGAGGAATTTTCTGGCACGACACAGGGAGCCAGCATCAGCCATATTGATGGAAGAAACTGGAAGAGGGTTCCACAAGCGAGAAGTGAAAGAGAAGAAACAATCAGAATAGGACTTACGGTTACATCTAGCTATTTCAAAAGAAAAACTATGATACCTAATTTTCAATTTAGTTTATTTCTTATCTATCTGCTGTGTCTTTTCAGGATGTAAGCGATCATGGCTCCCTACAACTTCCTGTTTATTGTAGATCTAAATAAATTTTGTTTTTCTGTTATTTCTCCTAAATCCGGTTCCGCCATCCGTTTGCCCAATCTTTATAAGTAGTGATTTTCCAAACGTAGCTTAGATGTGGCACACGGTCGAAAGTATGGGGCACTCAGTGAGGATCGAACTCACTAAGTCGTAATTTTTCTAGCGAGTCAAGCTTGCTAACCATTGCACCGCCTCGAGGGGTCCAATCATGGTTATATATAGTGGTTTTTAAGCGTGTCTTAAATGTGGCACAAGGCCGAAAGTAGTGGGCACCCAGTGACGATCGAACTCACTACTCGGTCTTAATTGTTTTAGAAAGAAATACAAAAAAAATGTTCTCACAAGCTTATCTCACATCTGATTGCTATAATCTCCAAATATTCAAATGTAATGTCAATCGACATCTCCACATATCCTTGATCTATCCCCTATCCTTCTCTTCATCCTTTCCTCTATTTGTTCTCGCTCCAATTCTCTGTAACCCCTTGCATGCTATTGGCTTCTCGCCTTGCTTGAGGTGAAGACCTTATATATATATATATATATATATATATATATATATATATATATATATATATATATGCAATGGATTAAATCCGACAAATATTTTAATATTTTCTGTTTATATGTTATTTTTATGGACACAAATCATTTGATTAAATGGTCTGTTTTAATAAAACAGTATTATTTGCATTTACCGTCTTGAATATTCGAGAAATCTCGCAGAAGATATGCGTCCTTCGGCAGAAATCGAACCTGTATCCTATAAGGAAACCATATCCCATAAGGAAGTCCTCTTTGATTGAATGGTTAACAGCACATCGGGCCAAATGACTGTTTCTGTTTGGGATACAGGTTCGATTCCTGTTAGAGGACGCATACTTTCTACGAGATTTCTCTAACATTCAGGCCGTTACAATATTGTTTAATTAAAAAACGGAGCATTTACTCAAGTAAGTTGTATCCATAAAATAACGTATAAACAGAATATATATATATATATATATATATATATATATATATATATATATATATATATATAGAGAGAAAGAGAGATACAAAACCAAAGAGAGAGAGAGAGAGAGAGAGAGAGAGAGAGAAGCGTACACAGAAGGGAGAGTGAGACGGATAAATAGAAAACAGAATGAGAAACAGGAGGAGATAAAAAGAGAATTGCAAAGGTAGAAAACAGAGAGAAGGACAGAGAGAGCAAGAGGGAGAGAGAGAGAGTGTGTGATACAGAGAGAGAAAACGAGAGGGACAGAGAGAGAGAGTCAGAGAGAGGTAGATAGAGAGAGTGAGATGGACAGAGAGATGGTTAATTATGATTGAAGAGCAAAAGCACTAAAACAGTGAAAGATGTTTCACACATGGTGCAGATGTCTCCCCCACCCCTTCCATTTTCCACAGTTTGGCGGCACCAGAACATTATTTTTTTGGTAGACATTATATTCATATCTCTAACTGCTGTTGGGGAGGGTGTGAGAGGGTAAGCAAGAAAAAAGGAAATAGAGAAGTAGTGTGGAAGGAGAAGAGTGAAGGTGGGATATAGATATAAAAAGAAGGAGAGAGAGAGAGACAGAGAAAGATAGAAAGAAAGAGACAAGGAGAGAGAGAGAGAGAGTTTTAAAGACGCAAATAGAAAACCTGCTTAGATTAAGTCTTCATCAACAACAAGTCCTGGCAGATGAGGAGGTTTAAATGTCTTAAATTTAACCAAAGAGACTGAGAGTGGGTTCTGGATTGTGGTTGGGGTGAGCAGAGAGAGAGAGAGAGAGAGAGAGAGAGAGAGAGAGAGAGAGAGAGAGAGAGAGTGTGTGTGTGTGAGAGAGAGATTTGAAGCTAAATGAATAATTGTGTTAATCTAATTTAGAATCATGTTAATGTGGCTGGGGAAAAGAGAGTTAAAAAGGATATAAAGAAATGTACAGAACCTAGATTATTAGCCCTAATTATTAGTTGCAGGATCGATGAGACTCCTTGTCACGAATGTCTATATGGACCAAAGCTCATTCCAGGCCTCAAATCGACCTCTCCATTCATCGCATCACTAAATATGCGTAAAAAAATGGTCGTTTTGTTGTACCGTTCCAGAAAGTATCTGATTCCTACTAGTCTGATCTAACACTTGTAGATATCTTTAGCTTTAGGCACGGTGGAGTAATGGATAGCGGCTTGGATTGAGGAATCGGAGAGCCGAGTTCAAATTCCAGTCGAATCCATTACATTCACTTACGTGCTAATACCCTTGGGAAAGGTATGAATCCTCTTCATTTCTCCCACCTATGGGTAAATAACAAGAGAGACAGGGTTCTATAGCCTTGGATGGCAGCTAGTCTACCGCAGAAAGAAATGGCAACCTACTGCGGTTCAGTCATGTATCGAAAGATACATGATTGCCTAAGCGTGTATCACCCGTGGCTCATAATTGACTGAAATTCACTTACGTGCTAATACCCTTGGGAAAGGTATGAATCCTCTTCTTCTGCACCCAGCTATGGGTAAATAACAAAACAGACCGGGTTGTATAGCCTTGGATGGCAACTGGTCTACCACAGAAATAAATGGCAACCTACTGCGGGAAAAAATCTACCTCGTCAGTCATGTATCGAAAGATACATGATCGCCTAAGCGTGTATCAAGCATGGCACATAATTGAAATTCATTTACGTGCTAATACCCTTGGGAAAGGAATGAAACCTCTTCTTCTCCCCACTCTCAGCTATGGGTAAATAGCATGACAGACCGGGTTCTGTAGCCTTGGATGGCAACTGGTCCACCGTAGAAAGAAATAGCAACCTCCTGCGGGAAAAAATCTGCCTCGTCATGATACATAATCGAGTAAACGTGTATCACGCATGGCATATAACTGACTGAGCTTTAAAGGAGTCAGATCAGAGCAAAAATGGATTATTTCTGCCACGTCTGTCTTAAAGATGTCCGATATTTATTTCTTGACAGATCTCAAAAGCGTTTACGCGGCATTGTGGGCATGATAAGTTTTCAAAAGCGCTATATTCTTTAAGTTGTCTGGAAGTTCATCCGATACATACAATCCAACTTCAAAGATGCTGAAAAAATGGTCAGATAATTGTACTGTTCCAGAAACTACCTGACTCCTCCTGCCATGTTTTCTCTTTACAAAAGTTAGGTCTGGTCAAAAAAGGAATATTACTGTTCTGGAGTTGTCCAGCCCTCATTTTCTGGCCTTGAAAGGTGAACGTCTGGACGAGGAATTATTGACACTGACCTCCAGGAGATTAACCCATTTCTCCAGTATCTGTCTATATTTCTGAGATGAGGTATTATGTACACTATTTACATTATTCGGACTATTGTTGTCATATTTATCACAACGTTTCGGCCGTTGTACGCACAGGCCTTCTTCAGGTGGTTGTAATGTCGAACTGAACCCTTTATTTCGCTCACTGGGGTAGACTGTTCTAGTTCCACGTGCCATGTTTAATGGATGTCAGTTATCAGTTATCTCCTGTTAATTCTCCTCTGAAAGTTCTCCACTGCCTTAACCGGGTATTGTCAGGACACATGGCGCAGTGGATAAAGACGTTAGTTAGATCCAGTGACAGGACCCAAAGTTCAATACCCGGTTAAGGGAGCGGAGAACTGAACATGGAGAGGGGAATTATAATATAGTATTATTGAATGCTACCAGTTGTTGTTATCATTGCAATATGAGTTCTGTTAAAAACATGCAAAGATAACAGCAAAAATTGCAATATGAGCACTAGTAAAAACATAAAATGATAACAGCAAAAATTGCAATATGAGCACTGGTAAAAATGGTTGCTGAAGACATTAGGTTTATAATACCCAGAAATTCATACACATATGTCCTCTAGGACACATGGCACAGTGGATAAAGACGTTAGATTCAGTGACAGGATCCAAATAGTGTACGTTCAATAAAGGTTTTAGTTAGATCCAGTGACAGGATCCAAAGTTCAATACCCGGTTAAGGCAGCGGAGAACTGAACTTTCAGAGGGGAATTAACAGGAGATAACTGATAACTGACATAAACATGGCACGTGGAACTAGAACAGTCTACCCCAGTTCGACATTCCAATTACCTGAAGAAGGTCAGAGTGTACAACGGTCGAAACGTTGTAATAAATATGGCGATAATGTAAATAGTGAACCCATTTCTCATTCTCGTTCGACCGTTTCCCGCTGTCATGATTTGGAAAGATTATACTAAATCAACTTTTTGGTCTGTTCCTGGAAAAGTTGGTTCTCTGTGCCAGAATCTATCTTGCACATTCGTAAGTCAAACATTTCTCCATGCCATGCATTAGACGTTGCTGCCACATCTGGTTTAGCGCTTCTTTGCTTTTTGGCAGAATCCAAAGAAAAATCTGCAATATTATCCGTCTTGATCTGGGGTCTCGGCTTCAGTCACTTTCTCACCGCCGTATCGTAGCTTCCCTGTGTCTTTTCTATAAATATTTTAATAGTAATCGTTCTGATGAACTTTCCTTTTTGGTATCTCGACTTTAAGCGCCTTACTAGAATGGTAGCTAGGTTTCATAATTTTGTAGTTTAAATTCCAAAATGCAACCGCAAGTTCTATACTAATAGTTTCTTCTTCCGCACTTCTCATTTGTGGAACTCTCTTCCGGCTCCTTGTTTTCCGATCAACTTTGGTCTTCAAAAATGTAAATGCAATGTCAATCGTTATCTACTGTCTTCTTAATTTTTGCTATTTTATTGTTCCGTCCTCTTAATATTTTTCGTTTTTTTATCCTCTCACACTCAGTAACCTTTTGTGTGTTAGTGGCTTTATTGCCTTCCTTGGATGGAAATGCTTTTTAAAAAAATGTTTGACTTTCGCCAAACACATCCAATATTTATCGAGGACGGGCCTGAAGAAAATACGGCCCGCGGTTTGAATGTTATTCACGATGCTTGCCCAGCGTGGCCGGCGAAGGCTTTTAAAATTTTTTCAATATTTTATGTTCATCAGAATAAATTCGGCAACTGATAGCCTACAAAACATTCAATTTTTTGGCAGTGGGATTTATTCAAACAATATCACTCTCTGTGAAATGCGAACTATGATAATATGTTAGCGAAATATTGTAAGCCGTGAGGTTACAATCGTAGAATAGGCCATGAAGTAATGATACGAGACATGAGTGAAATTTTTTCTTCAAAAATGTATTGCTGGTAATAATTTTTTTCCTTCAAAAATTCAGTGCTGGTATTAAATAATACGAAAATATATTGCTGGTAATGTTCTTATTTTCAAAAATGTATTGCGGGCAATATTTTAAAAAAGAAAAATGTATTGCTGGTAATATTTATTTTTTTTTTAATCAAAAATGTATTACTGATAATAATTTTTCTTCAAAAAATATATTGCTGGTAATAATTTTTTCTTCAAAAATATATTGCTGGTAATAATTTAAAAAAAAAATGTATTGCTGGTATTATTTTTTCTTCAAAAATGTATTGTTAGCAATATTTTTTCCAAAAATATATTGCCGGTAATATTTTTTTCCAAAAATATATTGCCGGTAAAATGTTTTTCCAAAAATATATTGCCGATAATATTTTTTCTAAAAATATATCACCGGTAATATTTTTTACCAAAAATATATTGCCGGTAATATTTTTTAAAAAATGTATTGCTGGTAATATTTTTTTCCAAAAAATGTATTGCTGGTAATAATTATTTTCCTTCAAAAGTTCATTGCTGGTAATAATTTTTTACAAAAATGTATTGCTGGTAATATTTTTTTCAGAAATGTATTACTGGTAATAATGTATTGCTGGTAATAATTTTTCCTTCAAAAATTCATTGCTGGTAATAATATTTTACAAAAATGTATTGCTGGTATTTAAACCTATTTTTCCACTTTTATAAGTATTTTGATCCCATTTTGGGGGTTAGCTATTTGCCCATAGTTGGGACCCTGACAGGTACTACCACCCTGGGAACACCAGCAATTAAGAGGTGGTCCCACCCTCCGCAAAACCTACTGATGAGAGGCCTTTTTTTTGGAGGTAGTTCATCGTCTTACCCAAGACACGGATATAGTGAGTTGGTGCATAATTATCAGGCGTTTTTAAAACAATATTTATTATGAAAAAAAGAAACATAACAATTCAACAGTAACATTTTTAAATGATTATTCCTGAGCGTATGATTATCGACTCGCATTTTTATAACTTGAAAATAAAACAAAACAACATTTTTTCATTAGCTACAAAAACGCCTGATAATTATGCACCAATAGTTTATCGTCATACCCAGGACGGGTTGTTTTGATATGACAATAACTATAAATTGTATTAAACGAGTATAATTTATTTTTGTTCAATGAAATTTAATAAACAAAAAGGGTGTTACTTTCGCCGCACACTGTATCTTTCCAAGGTTCATTGATAGTAGAATCTACATAAAGGCTAGCAATTTATCTTCCCTCTATTCCCATACAGTCTATCATATAGGAGTTTTCTAGTTCAATGTTTGTTCTTTTATAACTTATATCCTTGGGTAAATTTTAACAGACATGGTCCATCTCTCGCTATGGTTGTGAGACCTGGCCACTGCGCAGAGAGGATCTTCATAAGCTTGAGGTCTTCGATCACTACTGCTTCCGCCGTATCCTGCGCGTGCGCCTCTCCGTCCATCCGCGCCAGATGCAACATTCTAGGCCTGGAAGAAACTCTGCTTAACAGGAGACTCCGGTGGTTCGGCCACGTGCTGCGGCGGCCTGGTGATGAGTTCGTCCGTAAACTGGTTGCGCCAAACGCACCCACTGGTTGGAGGAAGCGCCGGGGTGGTCAACTCAAGACGTGGCTCGCAACGGTCAAAGCA